TCGCCCCCCCCCCCCACCCAGTCCAGGCCCACGACCCATGTGACCCCCCCCTTCTGCCAACTACCTCAGGGTCTCCAGCGCTTCAGGGGGCAGCCAGGGCTCCCACGCCTCGGCCATGGCGTGGTACAGCCAGGCGGAGGACTGGTTGCCGGGCACGAAGGGGGGCGGGAAGGCGTTGACGGGCACCGACTCGTGGTTCCCCACCGCCCCCCCCCACCCAGTCCAGGCCCACGACCCATGTGACCCCCCCCTTCTGCCAACTACCTCAGGGTCTCCAGCGCTTCAGGGGGCAGCCAGGGCTCCCACGCCTCGGCCATGGCGTGGTACAGCCAGGCGGAGGACTGGTTGCCGGGCACGAAGGGGGGCGGGAAGGCGTTGACGGGCACCGACTCGTGGTTCCCCACCGCCGGGTAGACGGGCAGCGGGCCCAGGTACTTCTGGATGAGGCCCGAGATGGTCCGCAGGGCCTGCAGCTGGTCGGCCCGGCTCTGCTCCCAGACGTTGTGGGCCGGGATGTCCCCCGTCCAGTAGGCCAGGTCGAAGGGCCCCGTGGCGGCCAGGTGCCGCAGCAGGTGCTCCAGCGTCTGGAGCGGGAGGTCGCAGTTGCTGTAGGAGCCCCAGTAGCCGGCCCCCTCGGCTCCCCGCGGCCGGCCCCCCCGGCAGCAGAGCGGGTCCTTGCAGGCCGGGTCGCTGCCGGGCAGGTAGTCCCGNACGGGACGGGGGGCTTGGGCGTCCCCGGGAGCGTCACGTTCCAGTCCGAGTAGATGTCCCAGTGGCCGCAGCGCTGGCCCACCAGCAGGCCGCAGATCTCGGCCGGGCGCAGGACGGAGCGGACCCAGGCGGTGACCACGTCGCGCCCGAAGAGCCGGACGATCTCCTCGCACACCTCCGGCCGCGCCAGGTGCAGCCGCACGCAACGGGGGGCTTGGGCGTCCCCGGGAGCGTCACGTTCCAGTCCGAGTAGATGTCCCAGTGGCCGCAGCGCTGGCCCACCAGCAGGCCGCAGATCTCGGCCGGGCGCAGGACGGAGCGGACCCAGGCGGTGACCACGTCGCGCCCGAAGAGCCGGACGATCTCCTCGCACACCTCCGGCCGCGCCAGGTGCAGCCGCACGCAGACGGTGGCGGCCAGGCGCTGCAGGTGCTCCACGCTGGTCTCCAGCTGCAACGCACCGACAGGGGGGGGGAGAGGAGGAGGAGGGCATCACAAGACTCGGAAGTCCGACCCCGACC